CTGTGAACATAACTAAAACCCCCAGAATTGTATACCTTAAATGAGTAACTTTTATGTAAATTGTATTGCAACAGAGAGGTTAAGAATTGCACGTTTTTCTTAAACAGGCATTTATAAACTAATCCATGTGATTGCAAAAAGATTCCCAGCCTCCCTGGCTAGAGTGAAACTCTTGATTATCAGATTTTGATGAGCCACTCTTTTAGAATTAATCACATTCTTTTTAGGTTCTCAAAAAAAAAAAAAATAAACATATGCTCACACCATCAAGCATCATACTCTCTGGCATTTATCTCAGAGAAATAAATGAAAGCAAGATTTACCTAAAAACCCATACATAAATGTTGATAGGGCTACTACTGTGATAGCTAAACCCTAGAGATAGCTGAAATGCCTTCTAGTGGTGAATGGTTATGTGCTATGTACACATACTGGGGAATACTACTCAGCAATACAAAGGGACAAACTCTTCATACAGTGACTTGAATGAATATAATGAAATTACACTTAGTGGGCAGGGGGAACCAATCTCAGAAGTTTACATACCATGTGACTTCGCTTACATAAAATTCTTGAAGTGACAAAATGACAGAGAACAGACTGATGCTAACCAGGGGTTAAGGATGAGGGGGAACAGCACATCTCCCAGGTGCTGGACCGGTTCAGTATCTTTCTACAGCAGTGGCTATGTTAAAGTATTGTGTATTCTCATAGAACACTCCCACTGGATAACGTTACAAGCATATAACGTGCGTAAGGATTATAGGAAATGAATGTGCAAGGAGGTTGTACAGTTTTCAGAGATTCAGATGCACATGCTATTTCCATAAAAATGCGGTACTAGTGCAATCTGCATAAGGTGTTCTATATAGTTGGTTAACTTGTCATCAAGTCAGTGTTGACTTAGCAACCCTATAGGACAGAGGAGGTCTGTCCCTATAGGGGGTTGTAATCTTTATGGAGAAACATTGAAGTAAGTCTAGGGACTAAGGTGTGCCTGATCCAGGCCATGGTCTTTGCTATGCATCAGGGAGCTGGACAATGACTAAGGATGCTAGAAGAATCAACACCTTTGAGTTGTGGTGCTGGAGAAGAATCTTGAACATACCGTGGACTGCCAAGAATATAAATAGGTCTGTCTTGGAGAGGGTGAAAACAGTTACTCCTTGGAGACTAGGATTTTGAAGCTCATTCTCACATACTTTCGGCACCTGGCTAGGAGGACAGGGTCCTTGGAGAAGGACATCATGCTTGAAGGGGTGGAGGGACAGCGAAGAAGAGGAAGACCCCAGATGAGATGGATTGACACAGTAACTGGGGCATTGGAGGTTGGTGTGTCAGAGTCAGTGAGACTTGCTCAGTACAGGGCAGGCATCAGAGCTATTGTACATAGAGTCGCTGTGAATTGCTGGTAACTTGACAGCACATAACAACAACAACTTTTATGGAAGCAGACAGCCACATCTTTTCCCCACAGAGTGGGCTGATGACTTTTCATTTAAGCACTTAACCACTGTGCCACCAAGGTGTCTCCTCCTACTAGAGTTAGGCAAGTTAGGCAGGGAGATCTGGTGGCTTACTGGTAAAGAATTTTGCTGCCAATCCAAAGGCACACAGTTCTAATCCACCATCTGCTCTGTGGGAGAAAGACAGGCAGTTTTCTGTGGGATTTATTGCCTCTGAAAACCCGTTAGAGGGTTGGCTATGAGTAGATTCCAACTCAGGGGTACAATATAGCAACAACAACTATAGTTACATAACTTCTTATTTTTGGGGAGAAATGGGTAAAGTTCACATGAGACCTGCAACTTCCTATGAATTAATTATTTCAAAGATTAAAAATGACTAGAAATCCTGTCTCTCTAAACTTTTATTAAAATTAATAATTTAAAAAAAATAATAGCAATTAAATAGCATTCTTTTCCCCCTTATTATTATTATTAATTTTAATGAAAATTTAGAGATTTTGGATTTCCATCATTCTTTGTTGTATGTTTCTTCCTGCCCACCCCTCCCCTCCAGTTCATTCTTCTCCTTGAAAACTAAAAGAAAAATTCTTTCATTATTATACAATCCCTCTCCCCAAGCCCACTCCACTATGCAGCCTTCATTCTGGACGCCTGTCATGATAATAATACCTAATCATATATACCTTTTAAACAGTTCTCTCTCTCATCTGTTTCAATGCAGTATACATAATTTATACCATCTTTCTCAGTCTCCCCCTCCCCTGCCCCCAACCCTAATGTCAGTCCCGTTTTACAACAGTGGCACTATGCAGTGTTTGGCCTTTCGTGACCAAGATATTTCACTCAGCATAATGTCCTCCAGGGTCACCCATTTTGAATAATATTTCATGAGTTCCTTCTTTTTCAATGTAGCATAGTATTCCATTGTGTGAATATACCACAGCTTCTCTATCCATTCATTTGTTGATGGGCACTTAGGTTGTTTCCAACTCTTTGCTATTGTTAACAAAGCTGCAATAAACATGAGCGTGCAAATATCTGCTTGGGTGGTGGTTATGGTCTCGTTGGGGTATATTCCCAGTAGTGGAATTGCTGGGTCAAATGGTATTTCTATTTCCAACTTTTTGAGAAAGCGCCAAACTGCTTCCCATAGTGGCTGTACCATTTTACACTTCCACGAACAGTGAATAAGGGTTCCAGTTTCTCCACAACCTCACCAGCATTTGTTGTTTGCTGTCCTTTTAAATTTTGCTATTAGTGGGGTGAGATGATATCTCATAGTTGTTTTGAAGTAGCATTCTTATGTCCAGATGATTAGATTTCCTATCCAAAAGGCGATTACACCAGTTTAAATTGTTACACATTATAGAGAGTATATCAGTACCACTACATCCTCATCAGTTATTAGGTATTATCATCCTGATTTGCTTATGCTTATTTTGGCCATCTGTTTCCTATACAGAAAAGCTATCAAAAATGCTGACAAATTATTTAGCTACCATGATCCATTTGAAGTATATAAATAAAATTTCCTTAATTCAGAATTAAAAAAATTGAAAAACTTACACAGATGTTCATAGTAACTTATAAAAGCCAAAAACAGGAAACAACATAAGTGTCTTTCAGCCAGTGTCCTTCAAGTGTGGATGGTTAAACTGCGGTACATCTGTTCAACCTGATGGACAGCCAGGATTCTGGACTAAGTGGCCAAAAACAAACATCTGAAAAGTTTGCATACCATATGATTCCATTTATGTAACATTTATAAATGATGGAAGTGTATTTTAAAGTGAAAGAATTATAATTGCTGTGGCACTAAGGGTATCATTGCTCATGTCAGATGGATCTTAGTTTAAAGAAGAGAGTACCAGAAGAATGTCTATTTGTGTTTTGTTGTCTATGGAAAGGCACTTAACTGTGGATCACAAATCATGGATAACATTGAGAAGAAAGGAAAGCCCAGAACACTTGATTGTGCTCAGGTGAAACCTATCCGTAGACCAGGAAGTCTACTGTGGATCACAAATCAGGGCTAACATTGAGAAGAAAGGAAAGCCCAGAACACTTGATTGTGCTCAGGTGAAACCTATCCTTAGACCAGGAAGCTGTTGTCTGAAGAGAGCAGGGGAACACTACATGGTTCAAAATCAAGGAGAGAGAGCATCAGAGATGTATTCTTTCTCCATACCTTTTCAATCCATATGTGGAACATATAATTCAGGAGGTTGGACTCAATTGATGAAGATGAATGGGGCATCACAATTAAACAACAGGATTAAACAACTTGTATTACACAGATGATACAACCTTGCTTGCTGAAACTGAGGAGTACTTGAAGTGTTTGCTGTAGAAGGTCAAGGAATGCAGCCTTCAATGTGGATTGCATCTCAACTCAGGAAAACAACGATCCTCACCACTGAGCCAATAGGCCATAATGTTGTAAATGGAGAAAAGATTGAGGTTGTCAGTGATTTCATCTTTCTTGGATCCACAATCAACACTCTTGGCACCAGCAGTCAGGAAATCAAAAGACAAATTGTATTGGGAAAATAAGCTGTCAAGGCCTTTGCCAGAGTGCTAAAGAGCAATGATGTCAGTAGCGAGACTAAGGTGTGCCTGAGCCAGGACATGGTCTTCTCAATTGCTGTGCATCTATCCGAGAGCTAGACAATGAATAAGGATGACAGAGTAAGAATCTATGCCTTTGTGTTGTGGTACTGGAGAAGAGTATTAAACATACGAGGACTGCCAGGAGAACTAACAGGTCTGTCCTAGGGAAGGTGAAACTTTTGCTTCTTAGAGGCAAGGATTTTGAAGCTCCATTTCACATACTTTGTTACATGTTCCAGGAGAGACCAGTTTAGAAGGGTAGAGGTTCAGCATAGGAAAGGAAGACCCTGGATGAGATAGATTGACACAGTGACTGTGTGTCAGAGACAGTGAGATTGGCCAGGATGGAGCAGGGTTTACAGCCATTTTTCATAGAGTTGCGATGAGTCATAGTAGACTCATCAGCACATTAAAACAATAACAGAGTTAGGGGTCCATGTGGGTTGGTGTGACTACAGAGGAGATCCTTGGCAGTGGTAAATTGGTTGTGTACCTTGATTGTGGTGATGTGTACATGCATCTATACATACATGGGATAAAATTCTCTAGGAACACAAATGACTGAGTGCATAGAAAAGCTCGTAACATTTGGATAAGGCAGTCATCCCATTAACAGTGTTGCATAACTGTTAGTTTCCTGGTTTTGCTAGTTCACTGTGATTAGGTAAAATGTTACCATGGGAGGAGCTGAGGGCGTGGGCACACAACACTGTCTCTTCTATTTTTGCATCTTCCTGTGAGTTTGCAGTTTTTCAAGATAAAATGCTTCAAATGACTGAATTTTTTAAATTGTGTCCTCTTTCCCTCTTACACTGTTTCAGCGAAGGACAAGCATGTATCTTCTCATTTTTCATTCATCTGGGTCCCCTCTCAGGAGTTCCCCTTTCCTCATTTACCTGCAGGTTGTAGACAACTTGTGAAATGAGTGACTCTGACAGCGACGACACCCCCCAGCTTTCTGCCCACACCTTAGCTGCGCTCCAGGAATTCTATGCTGAGCAGAAGCAACGAACTGACCTGAGTGGGGATGACAAGTTTAACATTGGAATAATAGAAGAGAACTGGGTAAGTAAGTGAATCGTCTTTGTTTTCTGGTGCTGCTGGAACAGAGATACCATAAGTAGATGTCTTTAACAAACAAATTCTCATACAGTTTAAGAGACTAGAAGTCTAATTTCAGGGTGTCAGTGCTAGAGGGGGACCTTCGTCCCTGGAGAAAAGTCCTTGTTTCCTTCAGGAACGCCAGGCATTCCTTGCAAGTCCCCTTCTGTCCTGGCCTTCCCAGGTGTCAAAGTGCTTCTTCACACAGAAGTCCCTAAAGATATGCTCCATTCCTGGCCTTCTCTAAAGAAACTGCCCTGGCAATGGAGTAGGGCTGTGATGGGATTAAGGGGTGTTACATCTCACCCTTCATCCTTTTATTTTACTCCATCAGTTCATAACAAGTTGGCTGACATGGAGAAGAATGGGAGTACCAGAGCACTTAAGTGTGCTCATGCGAATCTTATACCTGGACTGGGGAGGCTGTTGTGTGAACAGAGCAGGGGAACACTTCATGGTTTAAAATTAAGAAGGGCATGCACCGGGGTTGTATTTTCTCCCCATACCTATTTAATCTGTATGCTGAGCAAATTATTTGGAAGCTGGACTCTGTGAAGAGGAATTTGGCTCAGGATTGGAAAGGGACTTATCAATAACCTGCGTTATGCAGATGACTAGCCTCGCTTGCTCAAAGTGAGGAGGACCTAAAGCACTTGTTGCACAATATCGAGGAATTGCATCTCAATATCAGGAAAACAAAGATTCTTACCACTGGACTTATAGGCAGCATCATGATAGATGGAGAGGAGACTGAAACTGTCAACACCTTCATCTTACTTGGATCTACAATTAACACCCTTGTTACCAACAGTCAGGAAATAAGGAGACGCATTGTACTGGGAAAATCTACAATTAGGGACCTTTCCATATTATTGAGGAGTAATCATGTCAGTTTAAGGAGTAAGGTGTGTCTGATTCAGGCCATGGTCTTTCCAGTCACCTGCTATTTATCTGAGAGCTGGGCAATGAAAAAGGATGACAGAAGAATTGATGTCTTTGAACTGTGGTGTTGAAGAAGAGCATTGAACATGGGTGGCCAAAAGAACAAATGGATATGTCTTGGAGAGGGTGCAGCCAGAGTACTCTTTGGAGGCAAGAATGATGAGGCTTTGCCTCACATACTTTGGCATGTTGCTAGGAAGGGCTATTACTTGAAGAGAGACATGATGCTTGGAAGGTTGGAGGGTCAGTGAAGGAGAGGAGGACCCTGAACCAGGTGGATTGACACAATAACTGCTGTATTGGGTCCTTGAGTGTCCGGAAGTGTCAGGATGGTGCAGGATAGAACAGGGTTCATATCTGTTGTTCATAGGGTTGCTATGAATCATACTCAACTCAACAGCACCTAACAACAACAACAACAGCATCAGTTCATGGCATATAATTTTATATAGTTTCCACATTATGCCATGCCATACATGTTATTCCGTTTAAGCCATGCAGTAAATGCATTATGGTTCTGCAGGAAGTATTGGGCACAGTACCTGTTCTGTACCAAATCCAGTGTTTGTATCTTACCTGATAGCATGTCCATACTGTCTGTCATCAGGGACTGGCATTCTCCTCCAGAAGCTAAAACAGAAAACATTCTGTGAGCATTCCAGATGAGCATCTGCAGAATTCCTGCACTAACCTCCAGGCTTGCTGGAGATCCGAGGAGGCCTTGGGTAGGGAACACTGTGTCATTCTGTCCAACCCAACTCTGTTCTTGCCCATCACACTCCAGTGCTCTCAATGGAGCCCTGTCTTCCCTGTGGGGGACAAATCATTGCAATAGAGAAAAACGGAAACTAACCAGGCAGTGATGAGGTAGTGGACGGCAGTATTTAAGAAGATACCAGTAGTTTTCAGGGAAGCTCTGAAATGGAGTAGTCTGCAGAGAATTGAGCTGCTAAATTAAAAGCAGCTCTGAGGTAAAGACTGGCAGTCTCTTCCCATGCAATTTGCAACATCCCAAAGCTTTCCAGAGGGTCAGCTGTGAGTTGGTTCTGACTCCATGGCACTGAGTTCAAGTTTTGAGTGAGTAGTTTCCAGCATGTGCATAATATGTACTTTAACTGTACTTTTTTTAGTTCAAGTTTAAAGGGTGGACAAGAGAAAAAGACACAATTGAAGAAATGCCTTGCACAGGCTGGTGCCTTTTTGGCATGACTGATACATACATGGGTGAGGTGTATACTTTGATCAGGAAAAACATATTTGTTTGAAAGATTGTCTTGTTTTTGTGATGTTGATAGTCAGATCCTCCAGGCCGGGACGTGTTCATTGCACTCTAACTACTGTCAAGTCTCCCACTGGGTTTGTGAGGCTGCCAGTATTTATGGGAAGGTATGTCCCATCTTTCTCCCATGAGAAGCTAGTAGATTCTGATTACCAATTGTTTGGATTGACACCCTCCATCAGTTTTCAGCAGTCAAAAAATAAATGACTAGAAATCTGCTGTTAAGGACCTCTCCAAGGTTCTAAAGACTAACTCGCACCTGATCCAAGACACAGTATTTTAATTGCTTTTTATTCATCTGAAAGTTGGACAGTGAATAAGAATGAAAGAAGAATTGATACCTTCAGTTGTGGTGTTGGAGATGGGTGCTGAGTATACCGCAGACTTACAAAAGAACAAACAAATCTCTCTTGAAGAAGTGCAAACAGAGTGCTCCTTAGATGCCAGGATAGTGAAACTTTGTCTTTTTTTTTTTTTAGGGTTTATATTTTTTTTTTTTTTGCGGTGGTGAGGGTGTCTTTTCCTTAGAGACATCATACTAGAAAAAGTAGAGAGAGGAAGAGAGGAAGACCCTCAGAGAGATGGATTAAACACAGTGACTGTCACAATGGGCTTGAGCAGATAGAAATCACAAGGAATGTACAGGGTACAGCAAGGTTCAGATCTGTTGTTCATGTGGTTGCTCTGAGTCACCATTGACTTGATGGCACTTAACAACAACAGCACGCCACTGGGGCTCCTTTTCATTTGTTGTTGTTACATTTCATTGAGTTGGAACTAGTTGACCCTCCAGTGGATTTTCACCAGCCAGTTGCACAAGAGGAGATTGCCTGATTTTCCCCAGGGAGCAGCTGGTGAATTTGAACCACTTTCCTTTGGGTTGGTAACACAACTCCCTACCCACTAGGCCACCAGTGTACCATTTCCTTTAATTGTTGTTGTGTAGCATTGAGTCAGAACCTCCCCCTAGGGGACCCTCCAGCGGGTTTTCAGAGATAGTTAATTGCACAGGAAGAGATTTCCCATCCTTCTCTTGTGGAGCAGCTGGTAGATTAGAATCGCGTGCTTTCAGGATTGCAGCACAACTTCTTGCCAGTAGGCCACCAGAGCCCCCTTCTCCTTTCGTTAGGGGCATGTATTAATTTAAGATATGCAGAACAGATTATCCAAGATGCTGGTCTCTATGAGAAGTGTGGCATCAGGATTGGTGGAAGATCCATCAACAATCTGCATTATGCAGATAAAACCTTGCTTGTTGAAACTGAGGAGGACCTGAAGCCCTTGTTGCAGAGAGTCAAGAACTGCAGCCTTCGATATGGATTGAAGCTCAATATCAAGAAGACAAAGATTCTCACCACTGGACCAATTGGCAGCATCAGGATGGATGGTGAAGAGATTGAGGTGGTTCATAGCTTTAATTTGCTTAGCTCCACAGTCAACAATCTTGGCACCAGCAGCCAGGAAATTAAAAGACGTATTGCAATTGAAAGTCTGCTGTTAGGGACCTCTCCAAAGTACTGAAGAGCAATTGTGTCACTCTGGAGACTAAAGTCCACCTGATACAGACCATTGCAATCACTTGTTATGCATCAGAGAGCTGGACAATGACTAGGGAGGATAGGAGAATTGATGCCTTTGAGCTGTGGTGCTGGAGAAGAGTATTGAATGTACCATGGACTGCTAAGAAAATGAACAGGTTTATCCTGGAGAGGGTTAAACCAGGCTGCTCCTTGGAGGCAAGGATTCTGAGGCTTCATCTGACATACTTTGGACATGTTGCAAGGAGGGACCTGTCCTTGGAGAGGGACATCATGCTTGGGAGGGTGGAGGGACAGAACAGGAGGGGAAGACCCTCGATGAGGTGGATTGATTCAGTGACTGGGGTAATCAGGGTGGGTGTGTTGGAGACAGTGAGATTGGCACAGGACAGAGCAGGGTTTAGGGTTACTGTACATAGGGTCGCTATGAGTCACAAGCGACTTATTGGCACATAACAACAATTTAAAAAGAAAACCCTTTTGAAAAGAAACATTTAAAACATCACCTTTACACACTGGTATGGTAGATGCAGAAAGACAAGAGAACCAAGTTTCTGACAATCATAGATGATTTCTGAATGCATTCTCATGCTGCAGCAGCTGAGCCAGTTCTGGTACAGCCAGGAGACCGCCCTGCGGCTTGCAGAGGAAGCGATTGCAGTGGCTGGAGAAGGTGGCAGGTGAGATTCTAAGTTGTATGTGTTTTTCCCCCCTAAAGTATGTATGTATGTATGTATGTATGTATGTATGTATGTATGTATTTAATTAATTAATTAATTAATTTCAGTGAACATCTACAGAGATTTTGTAATTCCATCCATTCATTGTTGCACTTTTCTCCCTGTATGTTCTTTTTATATCCTCATATAAAGTAGTATTTTAATTATGCTTCCTACATGAGAGCTGGCCTGTACAATAATGCACAGTTATTCACAGTTCACAGTGTAAGAGGAATTAAGAACTACTACAGCCCAAAGTTGAAGACAGACTAGGAAGACAGTTCACAGGCAGATTTCTCTGTAGTGTCTACATTACCATTTCCTAACTTGTTCTTACCTTAGGACTTAGTGTTTGACATTTTTTTTAAGTTTTAATAATACAGATTTTCTATTTCTGTTGATTATTTTTATAAAAATTTTACATGCATGGATCTGGCAATCCCTCTCCAAAGTATATGACCAATTAACTGAAAGTAGGACACTTCAACAGATACTTGTACACCAGATTCATTGGATCTTTATTCACCTCAGCCAAGAGGTGAATGTCCATCAACAGGTGAATGATATAGTTCATAGATACAGTGGAATAATACCCCCTGCTATGTGTGGCTGTCACAGTCTCCATTCATCGCCACCCTCCATCAGGTTTCTAAGGCTGTAAATCCTTACGGGAGGAGTCTGCTCATCTTGCTCCTAAGCAACTGGTGAACTTGAACCACCAGCCTTTTGGTTAGTAACCTAGTATGTTTTGCATTGAACTACCACTATTCCATGATGGAACGGACTGAACTGTAAAGTAAAATGAGGTGCTAATATACATCACAACACTAATGAGTCTAGAAAACACTGTGCTGAATGAAATGGCAGTCAGTCACAAAAGGACAGATACTACATGATCTCATTTAGATGAAATATCTAGACTGGGCAAATATATAGAGACCAAAGCTTCTTAGTGGCTATCTGGGACAGGGAAGGGGAGGCAAAGGAAGAGGCATTGCTTGGGGACACTGAGCTGTTACAGCTGATGGGAAAATTTGGTACTGGATGGTGGACATGGTTGCACAATGTGATGAATGTCATTAATGTCACTGCATTCACTGTACCTGTCAAGGCTGTGGGGGTGGCAAATGTCTTGTTACATATATGCTCACCACAACAAAAAGGAAAAACTTGGCATGTGTATAACTTAAAGAGTATAATGGAAATGGTTCCAAAAAGCTTGTTAAAAAGAAAACAAAACAGCCACCAATAACTCTCTCCCTATCCCTCACCATCCCACCCCCAGGCTCATTTTCATTGATCCTTGGGGTTTTTAGGACCTTTTGGTATTTTAAAGTACCAGTGCCACTGCTAGACCTGCCACCTGTTCCTTGTCATTCTTTCCTGACTGCTACGTGTGTGACTTCTCTCTTTCCATGTTCCTAATGGTTATGTCCTGAATTTGGCTGGAATCAGGCGTATATTATTAGGACTATAGAAATGTTCTTCCCCGTTGGACTTTTCCTTTTTGTACCATTTTTCTTTTCCCTGAAATACTTACCTTATTTTTTTTAATACATTTTCTCTTACAAAGCAATAATTAGTACGCATACTTTTCCTAATGGTCTTTAAGTCCCCAGTCTAGTGAATAATGTATTGCAACTTCCTGAAAAAAAAAAGTCTGGGTCGCAGGACTTTGCAGCCTGTTGCAAACTGGACCAGGTGATTTTTCAGTTTGCTGGAGCAATGATCTTGGTACCTCCATAACCCTCATGCTGGGGATTCTTTGTACCCTTCTTTTCTTTTCCACTGTTTCCTGTATTCCAGATCTACATTTTAATAGTGTTTGGCCTTATTTTGATGGTAGTACATTCTGCAGTCGCTTCCATATGGAAATTTTGGAACCATTCCTGTCTGCACATGTCTATCCTTCCCTCACACTTCATTGTAATGGCCTGGATATCTGATTCTAGATTGGGAGTAACAGCTTCTATTCCCCTGAACCCCAATGTACCTCCAAACTTCCATAGTATTATTGAGAAATCTACCACCACCCTGATTTTTCACAGGGAAGTTTTCCCCAACACAGTGGGGATTTTCCCTTTGTGCCTAGAGCCTGAGGCATCTTGGAGCGGAGCTTTTACATACGACACTGCACATCTGGAGTCCTGTCATCTTACAGCTCATGTCCTTCCTTCCTTTAGAAGAAGATGGTCTCAAATTATTCCTTTCATTCTTCCCTTCTGCTTTTTCTTTTCCTCTTTCGGGAATTCTCTCGGACACAATCTATTTTCCTGTTTCTATTTTACATCTACTTTGCTCTGTTTTCCAGAAGGCTGTAAGCTTTATGCTCTAAACCTTACTAAACTTAACATTTTTACTACCACAGCCTAGGCTGTCTCTAGACTCATTGCTATTGCTGTCAAGTCAATGTCAACTTCTGGAACCCGTCTGTAGCACACAGTACAATTGCCTTTTCGAGTTACCAAGATGGTAAATATACAGCAGTGGACTACCTCATCTTTCTCCCATACAGCAACTGTAGGATTCAAACCACAGACCTTTTCCTTAACAGCCTAGTGCTTAACCTCTCAGCCACTAGGGATGCTTTCAGTTTGTTATCAAGTCAATTCACATTGCTATCAAGTCAATTTCCAGTTCACAGTAACATACCATTGAGTCTGCAAGGCTGTACATCTTAACAGAAACATTCTGCCTTTTCTTTCTCTGGTGGATTCAAACCAGCTATCTTTCAATTTGCAGTCCAGAACACCACCAGGGCTCCTTATTCAATTTTGTTTTGACCACTAACATTAGATGCTTCCCTTTCATGACTGTTGATCTTTGCTTCTGTTCTCTTATTTAAGGGTTGTTGTTGTTGTGTGCCATGGAGTCAGAACCGACCCATAGTTGACCCTCCAGCAAGTTTTCAGAGGCATTTAATTGCACAGGAGGAAATGTCCATCTTTCTCCCGCAGAGAAGCTGGTGGCCTCAAACCACGTGCCTTCGGTATTGCAGCACGGCTCCTTGCCACTAGGCCACCAGAGCTGCCTTTAAGGGTTGTTGTTGTTGTT